AACCAACAAGAGCTACTGGGAAGAGTGATGGCCGCGTCCGCACATGTTCAGGACATACCGGGGGTATGCCACAGAGTTCGCCGATCAGTGAACAATCGTGCACAGCTGTGTATTGAGCAAGGTGGAGGACACTTTGAGCAATTACTGTAGGTAAGCTGTTTCAAGAAACTGATCTTTTTTTTTGTTGCAGTCCAAACGGCATATTTCCGAACAGGGGTTTATAAGGCAAAATTGTTCATTTTGATGCCCTCTACAACACCTATCATTTTGTCGCAATAATTATGGAACACCCTGTATACTAAGTGAAATATAAATCCGAACACCCAGTTTAAATGGTTTTATTATTATTATATATTATGTTGAAAGAAGTCTATTGTGACTCTTGCAACATGTGGTTGGGCATTATCTTGTTGGAAAGTTGGATCTGCCAGGGTGTCAAGATAGGGTAAAAGATGGGGTTCTAGAACTTCCTGGATATAACGCTGCGTGTTCATGTTACCCTCTGATGAAGATTAAAGGTGACCTGGAACCATAAGCTATAGCACCCAAACCATAACTCCAACAGTGTGATGAACATGTCCTTCAACAAAAAACTGTGGATTCCTCCTTTCACCACGTCGCCTTCTAACCCTGGCACGACCATGGTGCATGCCTAAACAAAATCGAGACTCGTCACTAAAGACAATACTGTTCCATTCCTGATCCCAGAGTGTCCGTTGTCTGCACCACTCAAGGCGATTACGTCGGTGTTTTCGAGTTAAAGGGAGGACCCAGTGTGGCCGGTATGAAAACAAGCCAAAACTTCTCATTCGTCGGTAAACACTTTGCATGCCAATAGGTCTTCCGTGTTCTACAAACCATTCATTTGCAATTGACCTGGTAGTGGAGAAACGGTCCCTTAAGGCCAATAATCTTAGGCGGCGATCTTCACCGTCTGTTGTTCTACGGCGGCGTCCAGTGCCCCTTGCTCTTTGCGTACGGCCTTCTCGAAGCCATGCCTGACAACACCTAACCACAGTGTCTACACTTCTTTGCACTCTAACTGCAATTGCCCGAAAAGAAAGTCCAGCTTCCTGAAGTCCCACTATACGGCCCCTCGTAACCGATCGTAAAGGATGTCAAGAACCAAAATCCGCCAACGTTGATTCTTTACTGCGGCTGAAATATTCATTTTTATAGCGTTAGTGAATTAAAAAAAGGCAGTATAAAAACCGGAATGTCCAACTGATAAGGCTGAAAATTTTTTCACTTATTATTTACAGTAAGATAAATACATTCACCAACTTTTATTAAAATAAAACCATTTAAACTGGGTGTTCGGATTTATATGTCACTTAGTATACATATACAATTGGCAAACCTTGTTTTTGCAGTTGGATGGTTGTCCAACACATTTTGCGGTTACTGTGTGAGAGCATATTAATGCAATATTTTAACAGCGGTGGATCGGAAGAGGAAGTCTGTTTCCATGATCAACCAGAGAAGATCATGTGAAAACGCATTCGTAATGCAATATGTAACACACCGAGAGCCGAAACTGAAGCAGCTGTTTTGTCTACCCATGAGAGGCTTCAGGAATGCATAGGGTGTGATGGTCAGCATTTTGAGAATTTATTGGGGCAAACTTTTCTTTTTTTAATTTAGTCCTTTTTAGGACCATAATAAAAAGAAATTCCAGAAAAATCAGTTTAAAAAAATAAAAATTTAAGGGGTCCGCTGCATTAATATTTGGAGAACATTTTTAAGAATTAATAAGTATGGTTTAAATCCAGAACAGATGTGCAACAGCGACGAAACGGTCCTAAACTGTAAAATGTTACCGGCGAAAGGTTTAGCTTCAAAACAAGAATCTGGAGCTTCTGGTTACAAACAAACTTCCTTTGTTGTTAGCCGGAAAATCAGCTAAACCAAGAGCATTTAAACTTGTCCGTCCCAATGTTCTTCTAGTGTGGTATAAAAAAAAAAACGCCTGGATGGATCCGCTCTATTTAAGGACTAGTTTTACAATCATTTTGTTCCCAAGACAGAACGATATTTGAATGAACGCGGATATTCGAGAAAATGCATTTTGCTACTAGACAATGCTCCGAGCCACCCAAGTGAGGAGCAACTTAAAAGTGGAGAAATACGAGTGATGTTTTTGCCTCCTAATGTAGCGGCACTGATTCAGCCAATGGATCAAGGAATTTTAGAAAATTTAAAACGCAACTACAGACGTTTATTATTAGAACAAATTTTAGATCAAGTTGATAATGGTTCGAACCGCCTTGATTGTTTAAAAAACAAGTATGGAGACAAGTAAAAAATTCTACTTTACAAAAATCTTGGTCGACAATAATTAAGCAAGAAATGGATCCTTGCGCAGATTTTTTTTATACTCCAACTACCACGAAGGCCTAAGGCCTAAACACTCATTGGGTACCGTGCGACTATGGGGTATACAGGGGAAAGGGGGAACGCCACACGGACTCTGGCGAGGGAACACGTGTGCATGCAACATGCACACATTCTGGCTTTGCCTACGATACGAGAGCCGCCGGATGGTACCTCCGCGTTCGACAGTCAGAGACCGTCTACCACCTACGGACAATCACAACATCCATAGCCAAGAGAAAAATTTCTCTTGGAACGGGATTCGATCCCGCACAACGCACGGCGGAGACTATGAGAATAACAACGAAAATTTATATGAGCTCGTCGTAAAAATAGCAGGGTGTGAAAGTCTTACTCAAGCAGATGTTGGTGAGAGGATTAATGGTGATGAATTGGAGGAAGTATTAACTGACGATGAGACAGTTTTAAGTGATGCTAATGACAATGAGACAGAAATCTCTGCCAAAATATCACATTCTGAGGGATTAGAAGCTCTACAAAAGGCGTTGACTTAAGCCGAACAACAAGAAAATGCGGCACCAGGATGTTGCTGCCAAAAACAGGAACAATGCAAAACGTGTACAGTTAAAAATTACTTCCTTTGTTACTATATACTCGTAAATGTGTATGTTTGTATCCACATGATAATTTTTTACGTAAGTTTAAATAGGTATATACTCATTTAACACACGCATTTACTTTTTTCAATAAAAGCATTATGAGTCTAAAATATTTATTTCCGTTTTATCCGAAATTTCGATTACCCTAAAGCACTGGGGCACGTGGATAATCGGGGTTCTACTGTAATTTGGTATGCATTGTGTAATATTTCCCACTAACGAAGCTATCACTGAAAATAGGATGCACCCAATACTCTCTTGTTGAGTTTTCTTCTCTATTGTATGACGGCAATAATAACATATCTGGTCAATATTGCATTTATTTCCATTATGCGACCTCTTACTTCGACAGTCAGATACAAACTAATATCGTCCGGAATAGTCGGCGTCGGCCTGCTGTTGGCTAGTCCACGCGTTCTTTACCAACTAAACTGTTTTGTTGACTCGATGTGCCCACTAGCAGCCCAATCAGACTAAGCCATATGGGGTGCTAGAAGCAATTTCCTGTCAAACTCCTGCTAGTCTCTTGATGGTAGCTAATAATTTGTGACGGTATGTGTTTTGTTTATCAAGTTAAAAGCAGGTAAAAAGAGGTCGTGAGACCCTTTCGGGGCCTCGACGGGGCGATTATCGTTAGTAAGGGCTGCGCCTATCAAAAAGGCGGTACGCATGGTAGACCTGTCCAAGCTTCGTAATTAATAAAATTCCTGATAATTTTGTTAAATCACGCATTACAACAAATATATTTTTAGATTAAAGTTTTACGCTTTAGGGTCTTAAAAAATTATAGTATACTCAGTGACATTAGAAGTGTTACACCGAGAAAACATAATTTCTTCAACTTGATTTTTTGTCATATCAAGAATGAAAACATAATATTCTCACGAAATTTTATTGATAAATTGATAATTTGTTGGGCGACCCCGCAGATGAATACACTCCTGTATACGTCTAGGCAACGACAAAATGAGATGATCGATGTCTGGTTGTGGCACCCCATTCCAAGCAACTCTAACTTCGTGGATTAGCTGTGGCAGAGTCTCTGGCGGATGGTGCAAAGTGGACAGTCTCCTCCCCACCATATCCCACACATGTTCGATGCGATTTAAATCCAGTAAACGGGGTGGCCACGGCAAAACATTAACGCCTGCTTCTTGAGGGAAGTGCACGGCGCCGGCGACGTCTGACCCTTCTACGACCATCGTGGTTACCTAGACAGAATCGTAAACCGTCGCTGAAGATGACATTATGCCATTTTGCCTCCCAATCATACCGTTCTCTGTTCCAGTTCAAACGTTCACGACAGTGTCCGGAGTCAGAGAAAGCACTATCCGTGGGCGGTATGAAAAAAGTCTAAAGGCTCGAATGCAGCGATAGAGTTTACGCATAGTAACAGGTCTACCTTTTTCTCAAAACCATTGGTCAGCGATCTGACACGTAGTAGCAAGACGGTCTCGTAGGGCTAGTTCTTCTATCTACACACGACACACACGCATTACCGTCATTGCAGTAGGTACAATAAACACGGCGGCCAACTTCGCGATAGGACTGACATCACTTTAGGCAATAATTCTACCCCTGTCAAAGTGGCTAACATGGTGATAATTTGGACGTCTTCGAACTCGAGGCATTTTGTTATGCTGAACACTAGTAAATGAAAGGGCAATAATTAAAAATATCTGTACTACTAAGCTCTCCGAAACAGCTTTCTTCACAAAAACTAAGAGATAATATTTTAACAAAGGCAAACAGAAACAAAGATAAAACGATGACATTGTTGCCACAGCATGCTTTAAATATAGTCATCATGTTGCCAAAACAACAAGTTGAAGAAACTATTGTTTCTGGGTGTAACACTTCCAATGTCACTAAGTATATTATTTCTTTTGGTCTAATAGAATATAAGACCTCCTTAAAAAAGTGTCAACTAGTCTATTGTAGAACAGTAGGGAGAAGGGGGGTTGTGCTTGCAGGATTAGATTTTATTGAGACAAAGCTTTATGTTTCTCCTATTTTATTTTCAAAAAATCGCGAGCCTAACTAAATTCTCCTCAGATATAAACTAAAATCTTGACTATGCATATTTTGTGTATTATCAAACTCACCTGGCTCTTTTATATCCTTAACATCTTTGACGTTTGGATCACCTTCAAGAACGCTTCTTTTCTTGATTGTTTTGTTCGATGGACTCTTAGAAACGCCTAAGTGTTGTGTAGAACTCGTGTTATCGGGGACACTGTTTCCATTTCTGACATCAAAATCGACGTCGGAGTTGTTACTTGCATTGTACTCCAATAGTTCGAGATCAGTGGGAATGTGTGTTGTACTATTGTTTTGATCATGATGACCGTCGATTAGCTGGTATCTTGAATATTTCGCTCCTTCCACAGGAGGGGAAATGCTGAAACAAATTTTAAGAAGTTATTATGCAGGATAGCCTGTAAGAAATAGCGTCAGGTAAGTTGACACTGCATTTCCCGCGCAATGCTGACATCAGGTCATAAAGCATTACGAGCTAGCTACGAACACGTATAACACGAAGAAGTGAATGGCTCACGTCAGCCAAACAGGCTCATATATAGGGCGAGTCACAAGTCGTGATCAAAAAAGATTATACACAGGACCGCATTTTAAGGGAAATCTTCTAGGTAACATTTTTTCTTCGAGGGCTTCATTAAAAAGATATATAGATATATATGATGTTTAGGTAAAAATAAAAACAATTTTTTTTAATATCTTCAAAACCGTTAACTGGAATGAACTAAAATTTGGTATGTGGATTTACCTAGTATTGTCCACATTCAAAAGTTACTTAAAATTAACGCACACCAGTGGCGGAGATACAGGGGATTAGTGGCATTATTTTTTCAATAAAAATAGTACGCTACTACTTTTTTGTTCGAAACGCGCAATTTTTCGAATTTTACTTCCAATTTGCTACAAATATTTACTTTTGTGTTTTTTCCTAAAGTGCAGTTTTCGTAAAAATAAAAATAAAAATAAAACAAATTAGATAATTCGTGAAGAGCCGAGATACAATTAGTTTCAAAATAAAATACTAGGTCTTGATACCAACTTGACGTTTCTTGGGAGATTTTTTTTTGTAAAAGTCAAGTCAAAAGTGTCTTTTCCATTTTTGAGTGTTGTGAAATGGAATTTAGCAATGATGAGTACGCCGATATTATTTTTGTGTACGTGTTCTGTAATGGAAATGCTTTAGCGGCTTCTCGAGAGTATCATCGTAGATTTCCTAACAGACGACAATCTACCCCAAAGACTTTTACGCGTTCATTTCTAAGACTTCTGCAATATAGAATTGCCAAAATTCCCTGAGCTAGAGGCCATGGTGGCCGACATACTGTTCAAAAGGAACTGGAAGTGATTAATTTGGCGTTGGATGATCCTAGTACAAGTACTGGGCGTATTGCAGTCCAGTTACCATCTTCCCAAAGTCTTGCGTGGAGAATTTTAAATCAAGAAGTTTTACATCCTTACCATGTTGCAAAATGTTGAGATAAATTCTACTTTTTAGCCCATTCCGAAGTGGAAATCGTCGAGCCACTGTGGGCGGTCTCTCCTCAAAGAAGTGAGCAATATTTCTCGCATTCCATTGCTGTCAACAGGTTTGGTAATGAACTCTAATGGTTTTTCATATCCATATGAATTGTCAAAAATTTATATATGTAGGTATATCTGACAAGTCTGATCTCATATCTATGATCCGAAGACAATACAAAACATAAAATAGCAAAACATCTGATAGCATAGCATTATAGGCTTGATAAGGCACTCTATGCTTACCTCAAATTTCTCTCGTAGTTCCACGCTGCAACTCTGGCTCCAAGATGCGGTTTTCCTTCCCACATGAATATGTAATAAATTGACAAAAAAATAGCTGCCATCGAGACGCTGAAGACGTAAGCCATGACCGTGAGAACTCTGATGATTTTGGGAGTGGGTTTCGGCTCAAACATAGCCTCCTGTTGTTTGGACATTGGAGGAGCATCAGGAGAATCCGGTGAACTATCTGGGTTGATATCTTCTTGGGACGACATTTTCAAGATACGTTAATTTTGAGACAACAGTTGATTCATGGCGAGAGGAGCATCTGGAAAAACCAAAAACAATTATAATTATAAATCAACTAGAGTACACAGGGTGTCCAAATGGTGTATCACTCAATATCTTCGTTAGTATTAGAGTTGCAGAAAAAAAGTTAAATATAAAAGTTTTAGGCAGAGCTAAGGGCTACAACCTAAAATTATTTTTAGCTATACAGGGTGTCCCATAAATTAACAAAATGCCAAAATCGTTTTAAAGTTTTCCTGACTTTTGAAAATATTAATTAATTTCCATTTTTTTCTTAAAACTTCAACACCCCGAGTTTTTGCAAGGAAACATTTCACTGATCAACAGCCAAAAAATATCCTAAATAAAATCAACAAAATATTACTATTTTTAATATGCTAAAACCGGAATGAAACTTATTTTTTCAATATTCGTTCAAGTTTTAGAGTTACGGTAATTATATGTGTTCCTGCTGTGACAGTGTTAATATACTGTAATTCACAAGAATACACGTGCTACATTTTTATATTCGGCAAGGAAAGATGATGTAATCGGCATGATTGTGTTACGTTATACATACGTGTACATTATATTGTTTTACATTAGCCATTTTTTCCTCAGTTGGCTGACAGCGTTCATGCAAGATGTCTCGAAAGTGTGTAAACAATCCAGATCAGTTTTGTTACGTGTGTGGTGATGTGACTTTTGCGTCTCAGATACGGTCTATTACTCCACTAATAACAAAGGCATATCAGCTTTATTTCGGTTGTAAACTAGGTGATCAAGACAAACAGTGGGCACCCCACATCTGCTGTAAGACATGTGCTTCAAGTCTGAGGAGCTGGTTAAATGGCAAAAAACGGTCTATGCGCTTTGCTGTCCCAATGGTTTGGAGAGAGCCTACAAATCATATTAATGATTGTTACTTTTGCATGGTACCTTGTGTTGGACAAGCCACAGGTATGTCCAAGAAAAAAAAATCGGTTATTAACTACCCAAACATACCATCTGCGATGAGACCTGTGCCTCACAGTGACGAAAATCCTATTCCAAATCCCCCAGAATCCTACACTTGTGAATCAGAAAACGAATCAGATCATGGCGATCGAGTGATTCGTCAGGAAGAAGATATGCCATCAACGTCAAGAGATCCTGATTTTATACCGAACACGTCATGCCACCAACCGCACAAGATAACACAGTCAGAATTAAATGATCTTGTAAGAGATTTAGAACTTCCAAAATGTAAGGCAGAGTTACTTGGATCAAGACTGCAGCAGTGGAACTTGTTAGAAGACGATGTTTCGGTATGTGTTTTTCGTAAACGCCACAAAGACTTAGAACCATTTTTCAATATGGAGAATAACTTGGTTTTCTGCAGTAACATTAACGGCTTACTGGCGGCTTTAAATATAAACTATAACCCAGAAGAATGGAGATTGTTTATAGACAGTTCAACATTGAGTTTAAAGGCAGTGTTATTGCATCAATAATATTTCCAATGAAATATTTTACCATCTCTTCCTGTAGGGTATGCAGTTCACATGAAAGAATCATATGACAATATGAAGTACCTATTGACATGCATAAAATACGATGAGCACCAATGGCATATTTGTGGCGATTTGAAAGTTGTTGAACTTTTACTTGGGCTGCAGCTAGGCTACACAAAGTTTTGCTGTTTTTTGTGTGAATGGGACAGTCGGGCAAAGACACTTCATTACACCAGACAAAACTGGCCTGTTCGTCAATTCCTAGAGCCAGGTCAAAAAAATGTACAGCATATGCCATTAGTAGATTCGAAAAAAATTTTATTACCACCACTGCATATCAAGTTGGGCCTAATGAAAAACTTTGTCAATGCATTAGATAGAGATGGGTCAGCTTTTCAATACCTGCGTCAGAAATTTCCAAGACTAAGTGAGCCAAAGGTTAAAGAAGGTATTTTTGTTGGGCCACAGATTCGAAATATTTTGAAAGATAAACAGTTTGAAAACACTTTAACAGGTATTGAAAAAACTCCTTGGAATGATTTCCGTCTGGTGGTCACTAATTTCTTGGGAAATAGAAAAGCTGACAACTATAAAACCCTTGTCAAAAATATGGTGTCATCGTATCAAAAGATGGGCTGTAATATGTCTCTTAAGATACATTTCCTACACTCACACCTGGACTTTTTCCCTGACAATTGCGGAGCCGTAAGTGATGAGCACGGCGAACGTTTTCATCAGGATATTTCAACAATGGAAAAAAAGTACCAGGGAAAGTGGAATCCTTCCATGCTTGCAGACTACTGTTGGACTCTTGGTAGAGATGCTCCAGAAACGATCCATAAAAGAACAGCAAAAAGACAGCGCATATCGTGATTCTTATAAGTATATGAATCTTGTTACTTTTTTAATATATCCTTAAAAATAAAAAGTTTTTTTTTCTAAACCGCAACTAATTTTTTTATTTCATTGTCATTTTTGGATTCAGCGCCCCAAAATTAACAAAGAAGTGCACTTTTCCCACAAGATACAATTAAAAAACTAAAATTTGTTGTCCAGTGTTATATGTGATTATTATTGTTATTACCATCAATAAAATTCCCACCATAGCCTTATTTCTTTATAATTTTCATCCAACAACAAATTAATTCCGTTTCAAAGATACTGTTTTTTACGGAAAACTTTGAAATGCTCCCACCACTTTATTTTGAGAGATACAGCAAGAATTGTCAAGCAACAAAGTTTACATTATCGTCGGCTTTAAGGATCAGGTGTTTTTTGTTAGGTAAATATAGCGGAATTCACAGAAACATCACGTTTTTAGATTCAAGAATGCAGTTACGCCCCCTAGCGGCTATTTCAGAAACTTGAAAATATTTTCCAAGTTTTTCTCTTGGCCGTTTTTGTAATAACTTTTTTACCACAAGCCTACGATGGACAGGTTCCCAGATTCAGTCAGTACCTCGCATTCTTAGTTGGCCACCCAGTACAATAGACCTTATATCTCGGAAAACAGCGTTATACCAGATACAATACGTAGGATGACATTCTACGAACCCTGGATAAAAAGTTGGCAGTGACCTTTATAAAAATACACTATTCAAATCATGAATTGTTATTAGAAAAATATAATAATTATATAGATCTTGATAAATTGTTTCAAAAATTATCTTCGGCCACGACTCAAAGTGTAACAGTAAACAAAGAAATGTCATCAACAGCATAAGTACCTTCAGGTGTGCCACAAGGTTCTATATTGCGACCATTATTGTTTTTAATATATAGTTTCGATTTATGCAAAATTGCAAAAAATTCTCTCATTCAGACTTATGCAGACGACACCCAGTATTTTAAACCTGAAGAATCCTTAAATACTACTGAGATTATACAACGTAATATTAATGACCTGATTAAATTTTTTACAAATTACAATTTCAAAATTAACCCTGAAAGATCCGAAATCCTTTTATTTTTTGGTGAAGAAAAGAAAAGCATTGTGCTTCCATACTTGAAAACTTCTACGAGCCCCTTCTCACTTCAGTTGGCCCACTTCAAGATTTGTACCAAAATATGCCTTTATAAACTAAACATGACGAAACTGTTTACTTCTAAAACAATTTACTTTATCAAAAACATTTTAGATACACTCTAGTCGTAAAAAATACATATTTGAAATCACTTAGACCTATAACTAATAGAACATCTGAACAAATAAACAATGTGCGAATAAATGCGCGAAGTTAACAAAGCAACAATTGAAAGATTACCATTGGGTAACATCACCTTTATTTTTTATTACGGCTGAAATTCTTTGGGGCATAGTGTTAACCAAGTTTTGGCAAACATTCTTCCATCACTGGTAAAAGCGATTCTTCTAAAATTGCCAAATATTTGTTTGTATCCACATTTCCGTCAATAAAATGAAGTTGTCCTACTCCTTTTGATGAATAACTCTACTGCGACTGTCACCAACACAAACTTCGAATCGGGCCTCATCACTCCATTGTACTGCACACAATTGTTGAGGTGTCCGTTGTCTATGTTCTTTAGCCCATCTAAGCCGAGTTTTCTTTTGCAGTGGAGTTGATAGTGGCTTTTCTTTGGCCTATAAACAAGTTGTGCAACTTTAAGGTTTTTTCTTCACTTTTTTTTATAAGAAAACTTACCTTGCAAGTGCTAAATCCCAGTTTGTGGGCCTCTCTATGAGTTGTGGACTTCGAAATTCTCCTTCCAACAGCGTCACTCCACAGAGCACTTAATTGTAAATAATTGGCACGCCTGTTTTTCACTATTATTCTTCTTAATGCTCTTCGGACGGCATTTGTGATATTACTTTTTTCACATATCGTAACCGAATTTTCTCACTAATAACCTCCTCTACCCATTTTGAAAACCTTAACTACCCAAAACGATTTTAAACGTATTCTGACAGGTGTGATTAATAAAAACATTTTTGGAAATTGGGCAAGCGGTACAAGAACATCCCTGTCAGAAAGAACATGATCACACAGTGGACGCCAACGGAGGCAAAAGAGGCAGGTTTGGCAACAGAAAAAGCAAAAATAACTAATCATTCACTGCGTGCAACAGCTATTTCTAACTTAGCAAAGAAAGGGGTTGAAGAGACTACGTTAATAAAAATGACTGCACATTCAAATCTGAAATCCATAAAGTCATTTCTCCAACTGGACTAGGAACACCATTCAACCATAGTAGAAAAAATGAGACATAATAATACTGCTAACCATACTAAAGCAACTAATGAAACTAACGTTCCTGCAATAAGTTCTTTAGGTTATAATTCAGTAGAAAATACTAATTCTTACAACTGCAATTCATGCAATTTTTAGTTTCGATAAGTTCTGTCTCAAAATAAACCTGGTAATTATCCAATCAAGTATGTTGTCACTAAAAAACCGCATTCGGTTATTTTCATATTTTGTTAAAAGAGCCCTCCTAAGCTCATGCAGTTTTTAGAAAACATGCTTTCATGAAAAATTATCGGTAATTTTGATGCACTTGTGTAATTACTTCGAGAATGTTTGCGACG